TCCCTAATTAGATTGTAAATTCCCAAAGAGCAGGAATGATGGGAGTTTATCTCATAAATGCTCCTCTTCTATCTTTGTCTTTATAGTGGTAGGTAACATAGTTTTAGGCCAGTGATTCTCAATCTGGCACACTGTAATTTGAAAGATCAATTTCTCTATAAACAACACGAACTTAGCAGGTAAAAATTATGCTTGAAGGGATGGGGTACATTTTCACCTGCTACATTTACATAAAGTGTTTGGATGTTTTAAAGCCCCTTTTTCCTACCATTCTCTCTTTGACTTTTTGTATTTTTCTCAGAAAAATCTTTCCATTTCATTTGCAAGCCTAGAAAGTAACACTAAACAGTAAATAATACTAGTATTACTGACATACTTTACAAAAGAGAAGAAATACCATGAAGTAAAATGTAATAACCTATTGATGATTTATCATGCTTCGGGCACTGTATGCTAAATGTTAACCAAATCTATTCTAACTGCAAAGCAACTGCCATAATATACATTTCCAGATGGACACACTGAGGCCCAGGAAGGTGACTGGCACCAGGTTACTCAGCTACTAAAACAGCAAAGCTGGGACTGAGTCCAGGTCAACACTGGCTCCACCGCATTTATTCTTTTTTTCCCTTTAAGTTGAGGTATTATTTATATTCAATAAAATCCAACCACTCTAAGTGTACAGTTTGATCAATTTTGGTAATAATACAGTGAGGTAACCACTACCATTATAATCAAGATATAGAACAGTTCATCTCCCTAAAAAATGTCCTTATGCCCTTTTGCTGTTGAACCCACGGCCCCTGGAAACCATTAATTTGCTTTCTGTACTATAGTTTGTGTACCCTTTTGACAACTTCACATTAATGGAATAAATGTGTTTGGCTTCCTTTATGTAGCACACAGTATTTTTGAGATTTATCCATGATGTTGCCTGTGTTAATATATTTTTCTTTTTTCTTTTTTGTTAATCCTCACATGAGGATACTTTTTCCATTGATTTTTAGAGAGAGTGGCAGGGAAGTGGAGGAAGGGAGTATGGAGAGAAAGAAAGAGAGAAAGATCAATGTGAGAGAGACACCTCAATTGGTTGTCTCTCACATGCACCCCGACTGAGGTCGGGGACTGAACCTGCAACCCAGGTACACACCCTTGACTGGACATTTTACCTGCAATGCTCTAACCACTGAGCACACTGGCCAGGACAATATTTCTTTTCTTTTTATTGCTGAGTAGTGTTCCATAGTACTAGTATGGAAATACCACAGTTTACCCATTCCCCAGTGGTTATGAAATGAAATATGTCCCCCCCAAATTTATACACTGTAGCCTTAACTCCCAATGTGACTGTTTTTGAAGATAAGGTCTTTAAAGAAGTAATTAAGGTTAATGAGGTCATAAGGGTAAGGCCCTGATCCAATAGGACTGGTGTCCTAATAAGAAAAGGAGGTACTGGGTCTGCACAGAGAAAAGCCATGTGAGGGTCAAGAAAGAAGGCATCCATCTGCCAGCCAACGAGAGAGGCCTCAGGAGAAACCGACCCTGCTGGTACCTTGTTCTTGGACGTTCAGCCTCCAAAATTGTGAGAAAATAAATTTCTGTTTTGTTAGGGCAGCCCCAGTAAAGTAATACACCAGTTGACAGACATTTGAAAGCCTTTACTCTTAAATCCCAATACTGAAGAGCCAGTATTTCAACCTATCAAGTCCTTGAAAGTACCCAGAAATTTCTTTAGAGTTTCCACAAACTTCATTCTCTAAGTGTTTGCTTTTAGTGGCATCATCTAAGATGAATGAAAAATAACCTTGCAATCAAATTTTATTTTATTTCATTATTACTACCATAGCATTAGTTTTTTATTCATCATTATACTTAAAGCTGTTATTTTATGAATTAAAATCAGTGTTTTAATAGGTATTTTTAGATTCCACATATAAATGAGATCATGTGATACTTATCTTTCTCTGACTGGCTTATTTCATTTAGTATAATACTCTCCAGGAATATATTCATTTTAAATAAAAAAAAACAGGTAAGCTGCCCAGGTAGCAAATCAGTAATGGATCAAGGATTTAAACCCCGATCTGTTTGCCCTTCCTCCCCAAAAATGCATTATTTCCACTATACTAGGCTGAAGAAAAAAACATATGCAATTATCAAAGGTATCTGTGTGGGAAGAGCAACAAAGAAAAGAAGGCAAAGTTTCATCTACTTCAGTTTACCTAGGGATCCTGTGCATACCAAGTCCTGGAAAGCAGACTCCCAGTCTGCGCTGACTAGAGGCCTCGTTGGAAGTATGGTTAAAATTCCTGCCACTAACAAGGAAGACTATGTTCTGAAAGTAAAACTGATCCTTCTGGAGGTGCACTAATTCTCCAAGATCAATAAAGTATTCTTTAGCTAACTCTTATAAAGGAGCTAAATGCAACTTGAGTGATATTTCAGGGAAAACCCAAGAGTAGAAATCATACTGGATTAAGAGACTGACTGGCAGAATAAAGTGTGTGTCCAAGCCACAGATGACGATTTGCTGGCTGCATGACATCAGCAAGTTCCTTTACCCTTTTTAGAAAATGAAAACACTGCCGTGTTTTAAACAAGATTACAATAAAGATGAGATGAATGAGCATCATTTTCCATTTTCCTATCAAAGTGGCCCAATGGCAAAGGAAAATGAATCAAAGAGCTTTTTAAAAAAGATTCTTAAAAAATGTTTTAGAGGGACAGGGAGAGAGAAAGAGAAACATCAATTGGCTCCTACCAGAGCATGTGTCCTGATCAGGAATCAAACCGGCAACCCCTTCGGTGCACAGATGGTGCTCAACCAACAGAGCCACACCAGCCAGAGTGACCCTTTTGATGTTTTAAAATATATTACAGAATCATAGAATCTTCTGCATGAAAGCAATCATTAAGATGACCTAATTTCAGTCCCCTTTTCTTAAAGATGAGAACATTTAGAGGCTAAAGGGGGCAATTTAAGTAACATGCACCAAGTAGAAAGAATATAAGCAAAATCTTCTTTAAAAGCAGAAAATTAAAGAGAATCTAAACAAAGTATCAAAACCTTTTAGAAAGAAAAATGTCTTCTAGCTTCATTTTTACTTTACACAGAAAATAAAAAATTATATCCTCTCCCTCTTGCAAAAGAGAACTCACATCATGTCAGATTCAATCTTTCCTCAAATACACACTCACTCCTTCAGGCAGACACACTACCATGCTGTTCTTTCCTTTTACATTCGACTCTACATCTAACCACCTGGCTGAAGTGTTTTCACAAACTTTCACAAAATCGCAGAAGCTCAGCAAGTTAAGCGTGCCTATTCATCTTCACCCCAATGTACCTACATCTAGAAAAAAAATTAGAGGTAGCACAATCTGAATGTAAAGTGACCATTCTTTTAGAAATTAGAACATAGAGATGAATACTCTGGAGTAAATTTTTATTGTTTCTAAGACCCTCAAAACGGGGATACTAGCTCTTTAGAACAAAATGTGCGCACAGTGAATGAGAACCGCACTGTCAAGCACTGTCATGGGTTCTCTGCAGAGCTCACTAGGAGGTAGACTGCATGTTGGAGCCAAAAGAAATATGAAATATATATTTTAGAGATAACCTGAAATCTGCCCTAAGGAACTCCACTGGCATTTTGACATCCCTACTCAAAAGGGAAAGGGGCTATATTGTACACAACTCTAGATTTAACCAGGATGTCCCCCAGGTGTATCAAGAGTTAGCTTGTATGTCTGAAAGGATAAGAGTGGACAACCTGATGTCACTCATTTGATAGAGGAGAAAACTTAAATCAATGGCTGTATAGGTCCTTCTGACAACTGATGATTTCAGTTTAGATGACCTCAGCAGTGGTAATTCTCAGAGGAAAAGAACGTACTAGGAACACCAAAGAATGAGGAATTGGCCCATTCACACTTAGGAAGTAGTACTGAGAAGTGAGAATGCTCACCAGGATACCTGTCTCTCTCATCAAGTCAGGATTGAGAATACGATGTCTTCTTCAAAGTATTTATTTGATCCATAGACACTTGGGAGGAGAATTGATGCCAGCCAGGAATTTCTTCCAGGATTAACTAATACAATGACTTTCTGGTTAACAAGGTTTTGATGCTCCAGAACTCAATCCAATAATTATTACTGACAAAAATATTTCTAACCTAAAAAGCTGTTGACACCTATATACTACGTAAACTCTATTAATGGGATGTCCAGTTTGAACTGTGGCTATCTACCAAAATGAGAAAATTCTGAGTTATGCATAAATAAGTTGACTTAGTCCTTCACATTATCTAACCCACTCCTCCCTCTGTCCCTTCACCTCCCTCCTTTCCTCCTCCTCTTTCCTTACTCCACCTCCATGGTATGCAGCAGGGGTCAGCTAAGTTCTCTGTAAAGGACCAGATAGAAAACAGTTTAGGCTTTTTGGGCTCTACCGTTGTAACACAACAGTAGCCACAAGACAATCCATAAATGAATGAGTGGGTGTGTTTCAATAAAGCTCTTTATAAAAGTAGGCAGTGGGCTCATAGGGCTGTAGTTTATCAACCCCTGGTACACTGTAGCCATTCCCAAACTTTAGTCTCCATCACAATCACCTACAGAACTTGTTAATATACAGATTTCTGGGCCCCATCCTTAAAGTTTATGATTCAGCAGGTCTGGAGTGGGACTTGAGATTCGACATTTTCAATAAGTTCCCAAAGGATGCTGATGCTCCAGGGACCACACCTTCAGAACCACTAGTATAAAATAATGGTCTACATTTTACTCATTGAAATGTTGAAATGTAATAAACAATTAAAAAGTGGAAATATCCCAATAAATCATCACTTAGTTATATAATGTCTAATCACTGGGGTGTACACCTAAAATTAATATAATACTGTAAATTTAAAAATTACTAAAAAGAAAAAAAAACATGGAAATAACATGCTGTAAACTTGACTGCTAATTTTATAGGATATTTCACATGAAGACTTACTGTTAAGTGCCATAATATTATCTGTTCCTGGATGATGGAAATTTATTCCCATGCGTCCTAAAAAATAAAATAATTTTATTTTAAGCACAAAGAAAATAATGCTTAATATAATCATTTCAAAACATTGTAAAATACCAACATTACAAAAAGCTAAAACAAATTAATTGACAACAAACAATGCTATCAAAGGCCATAGCAATCACAAAAGTTTTTAAATCAAATAATAAAATATACACATGAAAAATTTTAAAACAAAGCCAAAGTCTCAATAACAACAAACAAAACAAAACAATAAGCTCCCATTATAATCTTCTGAAACTTTAATGCATCTCTGCATTCCGATTTAAACATGCCAACTCCCTGAATTAAGCATTTTATTTAAACAACCATTCACAGTGCCCTTCAAATTCAAGCAGAAAAATAATGAATTCAAGAACTATATAAACTTGAAGCTAAGGAGGAATAAAAAGATAAAGTTCTCATAGTGCCTCAAAAATGCAACGATTACCAGAATAGCAACTGGAAGAAAGATGGTGAAATTTATATAATGAATTGGGGAACAATGACTAGCTAAAAACCTGGGGTTCTTATTGCTGCCCCTATCACTAATTAGTTGTATGACCTTGGGCATAATGTTTATCTTCAGACCTTTGTCCTTATAGTAGTTACAGGGGTTGCAAACTTCTGCCCACACTGGCTGGCTACCTGTGTTTGTTCCCCTCCTTGAGCTAAGAATCATTTTTACATTTTTAAAGGGTTATAAAACAAAAATTAAAAAACAAATAATAATGTGTGACAGAGACCATGTGGCCCACAGGCCTAACATATTTACTTCTGGCACTTTACAGACAAAGTGACAAGAATAAATCAGATATTTCAACTAACAGTCTTCAAGGTTAAGAGCGGAAGATGTAGACATTTGATTTGCTTTTTCATTATTTAGGAAAAGGAGGTGGGTGTTTCAAAACAAAAATGAAACAGAGAGAGTTTTATATGAGAAAAAAATGTACTTAGTAAGTTTTCTTGACCAATTCCCGCAACAAAATCATTACTGAAACAATGCTTTTGTGTAAAGCTAATATCTACGAACTTGGCTCTGCTAGGTTTTCATGTCCAATTGTGTCAAGAGTTAACATGAAATTCTCAGAAAAATGTTAATTTCAGGTCACTACCATTGTTTAAATAAATGTCAACAGCATTTGGGGGGAGACTGGTGCAGAGAAAGCTGGAGATAAGGAAGTGATTGACTCTTACAACAAATGCAGTGTTATAAACAACTGCAAAAGGCCAGTCATCATTTGGTATTGAATTCTGTTATGGGGTACTGAAGGCAAACAGTATTATCAAACTCTTCTGGCCCAAAAGGGAAAAATCACAGTAAAAATCACAGTATTTGCCTCAACTAAAAAGGGGGAATCATGAATTCCTTGTGAAATCAAAACCATCGTAATCTCTTAAAGACCCTCAGATCATAGTAATTTATGAAAGGTCATTTCATATTAAGGCATAAGGAAAAAACAAAACTCTTAAGCGTAATGTTGCTTGCATTGATGTGTGTGTATGTGTGTGACAGAGAGAGTAATTAAGAATGGAAAAATCATCAACAGTTGATGGATTCTGATGAAACTGTTCTAATTTTATCATAAAGCATTAAAGAACTTTCCAAAAAATTATTTTCAGTTTTTATTATTTTAAACTATCCGGAGGAAGATATTACATCTATCTCTAATTTTGTGGAAACTATTTTGCTAACATTTATATTATGGTAAAATTCTTTTTAGTAATATATTTGAATGTTTTCTACAGAAAAATCATCATATTAGTAACAAATCATCTCTTAATAACTGAATTGACTGTTTTATTGTTTTTAATGAATTTTTTAAGATCTTTTCATATTTACCAGAAGCTAATAATTAGGAGTTTCAAAAACTACCAATTGTTAAAAGACAAATTTAACAGTATCTATGTGTCATATGTTTTTCCAGCTCCTAAGTCAAGTTAGAGTCCCTAAAAATTATAGTCTGTACCATATGCTGGGAGTGCTATCTCCTACCACCACCTTGATCAGAGCCTATTATAGGAAAATTTGTCACCAGAACAGACTTTGACTCAGAGAGTATTTCATTCTGATTTTAGTTAGCTATATCAATATTCTCCATTATTTTCAGATAACCAAGATACTCTATGGATTCATTACCACCAAATACTAACAGTCATGAAAACTAGATGTGATTTACACATATTCTGAGATATTCACATTTAACAGTAAATAGCCCAGTCACTGCAAAGTCTGCCTAAAAATGCAACGAGAGTTCAAAATCACTCCCTATCCAAACTTTAGGAAATATTATGTAGAGAAGGTCTCTCTGATCTTTAAGCAAGGAATATTCAGAGGTAAGTGTGGTTCTTAAAAGCTAGGTATGTTCCCTAAACATTCCTAGAATAATAAAGGGTTATCAAGAAAGCAAAGTAAGCCCAAATTAGCTGATCCTCATTCAACTTCTTTTATTTCTTGTGCTAAGATCATTAATGGTAAAGAATTATGTAGTTTATGCCTGGCTCATGTGGCTCAGCAGTGACTGAGTTGAGTGTTGACCCAGGAACCAAGAGGTCACTGGTTTGATTCCCCAGGGCACATGCCAGGTTGCAGACTAGATCCCAAATAGGGAGCATGCAGGAGGCAGCCAATCGGTGATGTTCCTCTCTCATCGATGTTTCTATCTCTCCATCCCTCTCCCTTCCTCTCTCTAAAAATCAATAAAGACATTTTAAAAAGAATTATGTAGTTTACAATCACTGCATCAAATAAAAGTTATTGTATGTTTCTGTATGCCCCTCTCTGCAGTCCTCCAGAAGTTGGATCCTTTTTGGACGCTTTCCATGAAGTTTTAGGACTTTTCAGCCAGGAAAAATGAAAATGAAAAGAAGCTTGGTAGCTTTCTAATTAATCATCCTCCATCTCATAATGATTTCTTCTGATTCGATCTTTCTAAAGATGCAGCAAAAACAAGTGCCTTGGGCAATGTTCTGTAGACGAAGGCATCACTACTTGCTAAAAAGCAGAAACTTTTTTGTTTTTCCTGGTATCCTCCCTAATTCTGTTGGCCTCTTTGACCCATGGATCTCTGGATCAATATATTCAATAAAATATATTATAAAAAAAAAACTCTGGGTCAATGCCAGACCCACCAGAACCAATTATTTAAAAATAATCTATTTTTTCCCAACTAAATGCAAATTATTTTTAGTAAAACCACTGATGGCTTCTTTAAGCTACTTTCTTTACCTCTTCAAAAGTTCACGTTTAGATTATAAAGTGCAATATATCTTCGTTGGAGAAAAATGAGACAATAGAGAAAAATAAAGAAAACAAGATCACCAATCAAAGACAAGCTCTGTTAACTCTCTGATTTACAGTCTTCCAGTTTAGGAACTGCATATGACCAAAGGTTTCTTTTCTAAAATTGGGGATTATTTTATAATTTTATTTTTTATTTAATATTTTGAATGCCTTAAGTCTTACAGTTATTATGGCATTTTGGAGGAGAGACAAATATATAACAGCAAAAGAAAAACTGATTCCAAATTCAGATGAGGCCATTTCTTTTTCCTTTCTTTTGTCCAACAAACACTGCTGTTTAATCAGCTGTGAAAATAGAATCAAGTGTGTGACATCTGGTGATTTTTGTTAATTCAGTCTGGTGCTGCCAGCGTGACATTTTGTCACCTGTCCATGGTCTGCTATTTTTAAATTGTTCTTGTCAGCTAGCTATCTTTTAAGTATAGTGTAAAATATAAGGTTTCGAAAACTGGAAGGCCTACTTGGTTTTGCTGAGTTGAATGATGCTGTGGAAATCTGAGGCTGTGTCCCACTTTTCCCACTGCACGGGGCCTGGTAAATGGGGGTCAGAGGGGATGGAGGGAGAGTTTGGAGAATAGGGTTCCATATGGTTATTCATATTGTAAAAATCAGTCCCGTAAGCTCAATTCACATTCCTATTTAAGAGAACAGTTATTCTTTTTCAAAAACTACCTCTACTATTATTCAAAGTGTCAGAGCCCAACTAAAGCTGTACTTTTATATGTCCAAAATTAAAATTAGAATTTTTATTAATTCATACTTAATTATGCAAAGTCACCTCTTCACTTCTGCAATATGTTATGTGATAGGGAACAACTGCTGTATTTTCCCGCAATCATCCCCATTTGCTCTAAAAAGTCAAGTCCTTCAAGAGACCTTCCCAGAACAGAATGTGAGTGCCATGTTCTAGAAAAGGTTATAAGACAAAATGAATATTCTACTGGACTCTGTTTCCTACCACTTTTCTCTATAAAGTTGAAGGTATATACCTTCAGAGAAAGTGTCCACAAGATGTAATAATATGATATGCAAGAATACAATAAAATGGTCTTTTAAATCCCTTTCAGGGAAAAATGATTAGAGACTGGTACTATAATATTCTAAATATGTTCCAAAGAACCAAGAAGCAAAAGCTGTGAGCTTAGACCTGAGGTCAAATCCTAGTTTCTTTGCATACCAGTAGTGGATCATTTTTAGCATGTGCCTACATTTCCTCATTTCAGGCCATACTCTGGAACAATTAAATTGGAATTTCTGGAGGTAGTACCCAAGATTAAAGTACTCAGTCTTTTTCTTTCAAAATTCTCAGGAGAAAAAAACCACCTCTCAGGTGATTACATTGCTATATTGAAAGGATCACTGGGCAAATTAATGGGAGGTACCTATAAAAAGATCACTCAACTTCTATCTATTGTGTCTCTCCCCCCGCCACCCTCACTCCCAGTATAGAACAATCACTTTTTCTAATTTAGAACCTGTGCCCTAAAACTTTGTGTAATCTGCTAACTTTTATACCAGATAAGCTGATAGAGCTTAAGGGAGGTAACACAAAATGGAACTGGAGTAATGATTCAGGTTAGTAAAGAGACAGTATGTTTTTCTGAACAAACTAAGTGTAATGACAGGTGCACTTTTCCTAAAACGAGGAAACCTCAACACGCCACAAAAAGGGCCAATTTTGTGAAAGGCTAAATGCCACTAAATATAAATCGTAATGAATAAATAAAATGCCCTATAACACCAAAGAGGTGGCATCTATGCCTTCCAAATTTCTGTCAATTTAAATTTTAAAGCACTATTATCGGAAGACAGCTATTTTTTCCCCAGTTTGAGTATATATTTGAAAAGCAAACCCTTCAAGATCAGTTCTCAACTGACACCTGCTCTTTTCATTTCTCAAATTTCAGTTCCATGAATGGTGAAGAGAAAATCTTGTCTCTCAATGTCACCTCCACTGCCCAATGTACTGTGGTTGGTATTTCCCTATTCTTCTCTCTCAGTACTTTGTCTGTGAATCTTAATCCTAAGGGAGGGTATGATTAATCAAACCTAATGACCCTGGGTTTTCATAGGGGTTCCCCAGCAGCTAGATGAACCCTCATTAGCAGCAAGTCAGTGGAGCACTGTAAGGAGGGTATAAGGATGAACCTCTTCCCTTATCCCTTATTCCCAATGCCAGAAATCCCATTAATCCTCACAGTTATGAGAAGCGTTGAATATCCCTTCAGTCCACTAGAAAAGAGGGCAGAGAATAATTCCTCCCACCCGGACCTCACTCATACCTAGACCAACCCAAGGACTTTTGTTCTTAGTAAAGAAATAAGGAACCGTTTTCATTAGTTCATCACCCATCTCAAAACTCTCCTTCTCATCTCTTGGAGGCATTATCTCAAATGAACATTAAGGAAAGTCATACGTAAGATGTGGTAAGAGGCAAATATAATGATGAAATGTTTCTCTGTTATAACCAAGAACTGTAATTTGAGCTCTCTAAGAAGCCAAAATTCAGTCTAAGTTTTATTTAAATAGGGATCTGTGATCTGATCAACACTGCAGAAGACATTCCTGAGTGCTGTGAAGAAAGACCAGTTTGATTTTTTCTCTACTACTTTACTACTGGGGGGGGGGGCGCGGAGGGGCCTTTTAATATCTCCTACAAACACTTCCGACGCTGACCTAGTATTACGTATAAACAAAATTGGAAAACTGTTCAAGCTCTTTACTGAAGCAGAAATCTTAGTACTTCCTGAACTTCCTATTTCATCATTTCTCCCACTAACCCTTTCTTCCCTCTGAATCAAGAGAACAGTTGAACAAAGGAATTTCTTACTCAATGCATTTCTAAGATGAAATATCACTGTGAACATATTTTCGCCACTTTCACTTTAAGTACATTTGAGGTATTTTATTTTTCATGACTGTGATATCCTATTTTATTATACTTTCTTTACATCATTCAGATATGCTATTTTGGAAAGCCAACATAATTTAGGAAGATTCTTTTCCTTTCTCCTTTTGGTGGTTTTTGATAATGACAATCATTTACATATGGGAAATACAAAACTTTGGCAACTTGCATTTGCAAGCTTTCAGCATTTAGCTGCAGCCTAGCTAGAAGGAAACATTGTAGGAATATAAAGGTTAATTTATTGCGCAGGCCAGGCTGTAGGCATACCATTACCACTGCCAGCAAAAAAAAATTATAGATACCATTTGAGCAGTTTCTAGTGTCAGGAACTTGATCTGATTCTGTGAAGTAGGTGCTTTATTTTAACAATGAGGACACTAAGACTTTAAAGAGGCTAACTAATTTATCTAGATCAATAGCTAACTAGAGGCAGAGCCGGAATTCAAACACAGGTTTGAGTGACTGCAAAGTCAGAAAGGCCGAGTTGGAATTTCATCTCCTCTATAGAGAATATAAAATGTCTGAAAGAATGTTAATAAACAATTTTTGTTATCTCTAGGTAGTAGGTCTCAGGTGATTGTTTCCACTTTCCTTTTTGTTTTTTTATGTACTACTTGAATTCCTTACAATGAGAAAGAATGTATTATTTTCTAAAGAAAATGGAGCTTCGGAGGAAAACACCAAAACAAGCAAGCATATAAAAAATCAAGGACTCTATCACTTGAGTGTTGAGATCCTCAAAATAGTGTTCCCATGTTCAAGTGGGAGAAGAGGATACTAAAGAGAAGAGGGAAAACAGAATGGAGTGGAGGGAAGCGTTTCTAGACAGACTCATCCAGAAGCCACCGGGTAGGTCTCCTAGCCCACCACCTTTCTCTTAAAGCACAATTCACCTAGATGCTTACATATTTTGATTTTTAATTGACTAGATGTTTATATCTTTTGACCCAGAGACCCTCTCTATGAATTTTCCTTGAGAAAAAACTATGTGCAAGAACTCATCCATGGCAGCATTACCGACAATGGAGGAAAAAAGCTGGGAACAATCTAAGAGTCCTAAGTGTAAGGCCTATCAATAAATTATAAAGACCGGATAAAAACATGGATAATGTTTATCATGCGGGAAATAGAAAAATAAAGGCTACGCCATCACAATGTTTCTTTTATTTTTTAATGACCTTTTTGTTATTATAATTTGCTCCTCTTTAAGAGTCAAACGTTGCTTAAAATCTTTCCTTTAAAATACCAGCATCATATGTTACTAGGAATAATAAGATTCAAACACATGATGCCATAAGTCAGACCTAACAGTCTCCCAGCTGGAAAAGGGAAGCAGGAAGCTCAAACACCCTCACCAGAGGACGCTGACGTGATGCTGTAATTGTACATGGGAAGTGGTCCCCTCATAAGGAAATCAATGTGGGTGGTATGATGAACTGAGAGGTTGCAACTCTATTGAGGCTGTAAAAAAGTACATATTAAATGCCTTCCAATTTCTGAGGACATATATCTATAAGTACAGTGCAGAAGGCTTGCATAGGTGAAACCTCACATTTGCAAGTGTAGTGAAAAAATTTACGCACAGGCAGTTAGACATGCAATATTTAAAAAGGCCACCACAACTGGAATAAGGTATTTACATTACACTGTAGTGAGGTATCCTCCTCACACTTCAACAATGCTACGCTCAAAAGGCAGGGCACAATAGCACCCACTTAAACAATATCCACAAAATTCTGGAAAATTATTTTACAGACTGTAATCTAATATCCTTTTATATTTTATTGCTGGATGAAAAGAATACAGGCTAAGCTAAAACAAATACGCATAAAGAACAAGGGCTGAATATTTTAGGTTAGGAGAGACTTCTAGCTGTTCGAGGTAGAGAAGGCAGACAAATGCAGCCTTTGAAGATATTAAAAACACAAAAGTCTGTGAATATCATGGGTTTCTTTTTTAACGTCATTCTCACTTCTAAGTGAAATATGCTTTAAATGGCCATGTACCTAATCTCTCAACTGAAGACAGACATGGTAACAGTGACTAAATATAACAATGAATCAATGAGAGATTTTTTTTCCCTACTTCTGACGGCTTTAAAATATAGCTTTTCTCAAAATCCTTTCTTTTCTTTATAGTCTGTTAACTACTCTCTTTTCACTGGCAATTGAGGACCGCAGCAGAAAATCATGAGTGTGACAAGAAAAGGATGAAATGGATTCCTGGTGTGGCTGGAGGAAATGGCTATCAGGTGTTCACAGTCATTCCTACCCTCTATAAGAGCCTGCAGAGAACCAGAGGGGATCAAATTCCTCCCCATCCAGAGGACATCCCTGTGGCCAACTCTTTACAGTGTTCAGATATTAGGCGCTGAACCCAAGCACTGTAGATACTTCAACAGAAAATTTCCATTACAGTATTCAAAAATACCTTGGGGCCCCTAAAAATTCCTATAACCCATAAAAAGAACTAGCTGTAATTATGAATGTAACATCAGCCTCTATCCTGAATTTACATGGGTTGTAAAAGTAGGAAATCCTAATATTGCTGACGCTGGGACTTTCTGCCTTATATTTAAGCCAAAACGTTGACACATTTTAAGACATTTTCCTTAATGTTTTAGCCTGAGAGAATGCAAACGGGTCGCTGGCTGCTCTCAAGTCTGTGTGGTGTTACCTCTCTATACTAGGAAATTGATTATATTTTAATAAAATGAAACCCTTTTGTATGAAGTTTTCTGAAGTAGTCTTTGGAGACTAGTTTACTAAATCTCCTATTTCCTTGCAGTATGCTTGGACTTAAATGAATTATCCAGGTTCGGCTGTGGATTCCAAATGCAAAGCCCAGAAAATGTGGCTTCTGGTCTCATGCCGTAACTGCAACTTCAGCTGCCCAGCACATGCTTCTGCCAGACATTATGATTAAAGCCATCAACCTTGAAAATCATAGGTAGCTGAACCCAGGTTTTAAAAAAATCAACTTTAAATACATTCCACAATGCTTTACAGAAGCAAACAAAAACAAACAAACAAACAAAACAAAACAAAACAAAATCACAATGATTAAAAAGCTGATTTTTGTTTAAAACACCAAGCAAGGAATGGACATATGAATATTCCTAACCTGCAAAATGATTCCTCCACATTATATCAGCGAAACTCATTGGTGGGCCACTGGGAGGGTAGTGTTTACCTTTCAGAGGCTCATGATCAGTCCTTATCATATCCATTAAGGAGTTCTCCAACGAGTGCAAGTTAAAAGTGTCATAGGGCCTACTCCGGTCCTAAAAATAAAAACACAGAACAATAAGACAACACATAAGATCACTCCATAAAAATCAATACCATAGCATTTGCTTCTTGCCATGTACTGATGACGTGAATCAAAGTTCCAGATAGTTCTAATAATAAACACACAGTCATTCTTTGCATTAAGGATAATGGCTTATTTCAGAAGGACACTAAACTTACATTAATGCTGGAATTTTAAAAAAAGAATAATGACTTGGCAACATTACGTTTAATACAAGTTTCTATTAATTAATTAAATTATCACCCTTTTCCCCTAATCGCCTTTTATGTACATGTCCCACTCCTTCAGGCTGACTTTTTCTCAAGTGAACTAAAAAAGTAAATTCAAAGGTTAAGAGTCACGTGAATTGGCTCTGCCCTCTGCCCTTCACCCCCTGCACCCACCGTTACGTGAAGATTCTACTCAAATGAACAGAGGTGCTGTTTTTTTCTGGAGGAAGACCATAATTAAAAACTCTCAGTATAAAATTACTTTCCTGAAAAGCATAAAATTACTTTCCTGAAAATTACTTTCCACAAAAAGTGACTGTAGCTTCAATGTAATTTTATTGCATATCTTTCATATTTATTACTGATAAAGTCCATATGATAAGGTCTATACATTCGGTATATGTTATAAAAATTACAGCATGTCCAAAGTACTAAAATTACCTTCTGAAGAGCATTCACATGAAAAAAATTTAACCCAAGGTAGTGTTTTCCTTAGATTCAAAAACATTTTGCAAATAGAAAACTAACGCAAAAGAAGTGAAGAAAAATAATTGTTCTGCCACATTTCACTCATGCCCATGGGAGACCATCACCTACCAATTATTTTTAGTAGTCTGAGTCTAAAAGGAAGTGCAGTCCATGGCCTAATTTATTACTAGAGAACAGATTTAGTTGGTTTTTGTTTAAGAAAAGCAAGACAGCCCGGCTGGTGTGGCTCAGTGGTTGAGCATTGACCTATGATCCAGGAGGTCACGGTTCAATTGCCAGCCAGGGCACATACCTGGGTTGCAGATTCAATCCCTCGTGTGGGGCATGCAGGAGGCAGCTGATCAATGATTCTCTGTCATCATTAATGTTTCTGTCTCTCTCTCCCTCTCCCTTCCTCTCTGAAATCAATAAAAAAATACTTTTTTTTTTAAAGAAAAGCAAGATAAACATACACCTCAATAACCACACAAAACAAACCATAGCAATGAGAGATTATTCTCAGAATCTTGAACAGTTTATCCAGCCTTGCAAATGATCACTTATCCTCTCCTATGAATAACAGAATGACATGATGAGTACGATATAATACGACAGGTATAAACCTCAGCTACGATGACCATTTTCCAGGTTTGTCTTAAACTATTGGAAAGCTGTTTTCTTCTGGTCTCTGGTACACAGCCTAGCTGTATACCTATCCAGGGAAGCAAAAAGGGAGGTGACGTTTCGGCAGTGAACATAAAGAACTCAGAGGATTACTGGATAAATGAATGCAGCATGAACGCATGCAGGTCCTAGGAAGAGCCCTGAACTAAGAACCAGGAGGCAAGAGTGCTAGAACAACGCTAAACAATTGGGGCTTTGGGGGACATTATGATCCACTGCTCCAGTCTGTGCCTGAAATTCCTCCCTTTATACAAATGAGAGGATTGAGCTACATTATTTCTAATATCTCTGCAACCCTATCCTTTAAAAGAACAACAACTCATAGATGAGGAGTAGGAGTGGGGGACACAGACTTTACAAATCTTTAATGCGCAAGTTGAGGGCCACTGCCCTACTAGGCCCTGGCAGTTCAGAAGTAAATGCTGTAGCCTAGTCCAGTGGTCGGCAAACTTCGGCTCGCGAGCCACATGTGGTTCTTTGGCCCCTTGAGTGTGGCTCTTCCACAAAATACCACCAGCAGGCGCGCACGTACAGTGTGATTGAAACTTCATGGCCCATGCACAGAAGTCAGTTTTTGGAAAGGAGATAGACGAAACAAGTATACAAGACGAGTGTGGATGGGAGAGTTGGAAGGGGTCGACCTCAGCGAACGTACCTCAATCAGATTGAGGACGTTTTTAGCAAAGGCCAGCTTAGGAGTACCCTAATTAAGTTAATAACAATGTACCTACCTATATAGTTTAAGTTTAAAAAATTTGGCTCTCAAAAGAAATTTCAATCGTTGTACTGTTGCTATCTGGCTCTGTTGACTAATGAGTTTGCCGACCACTGGCTTAGTCCCTGTTTGCAAGTAACTAGCAGAGAGGGACATAACCAATTAAAATAAGAGTATGACAGGTGCTTTGACAGAGGAATGTATGCAGTACAACGGAAACTAAGTCACATCTGTTTCTTAAACAGCACATATTTGTGTATGTGTGTATTGTAATTATTTTTTAAACTCCCATTCTATAAAGTCCTAGGTGTCTTGAATATGGACCTGTCATGTGACCAGATGTAAGGCTTGTCTTAGTCATTCTCAATGGCCGCAGTATTCTCACTAGTAAAATGGGATCCTGTTAGAATTAGGTTGAAATTACTTATTTTAGGCACATTGTGTGTGCCAGAGAGCAAGTAGTCAATATTTCTTAGTTTCCTGATGCGTTCCCCTACCCCCAGCCATTTTTTTCTTTTAACACTCATCAGTTATCTGTTCCTATTGTTGGATAAGAAAGAGACATGGAATATTTTCTTTGGTTCTCCATTTTGGTCTCTATATAATTTAAGAAGGTCCTTTCCTTTACCTTTCAGGTCTTCCATTTGTTTTGCTTTGGGTTCAAGTTATCAGTGGAAACTTGAATTACTTAAGGAATAAAGCTGAACTTCCAGAAATGCAGACTTATCTTTCTCCATAAGAGTTATCATATTCTTTGCCCAAAGAAAAAGCCAGAGGTTAAAAAAAAAAGAAAAGTGTGCTGATGAAGAGGCAAATGACAACCTATTTATGGCACTGATGATCCCATAATAAATGTCTAGGAGCCTTCTATCATACCCATCCACACCTCCCACCGGACTGTTTGAAGAGAGGCTGCTAAAGTGAAGGGACTATAAGAAATGGCTGTTTTAAAGCATCCAAGAATCTTTCCAGCCAGGACAGTTTCTTTTTCCCCCATTTAATTCTTGGTATAATCTTCAAGGTAGATAACATACTCATTTTACAGAGGGAGATGAGGTTCAGAGATGATGCAAGTCTGGATCTGACCTCAACGCCAATACCAAGGAGTATAAAAATCTGTCCAAGAAATTAATTCAATCCATTTGGGATATTACATGAAAACTCTTTAGAAACACAGCGTTGCATCTAATCACTGATGAAATGATCTTCCTGTTAAGGTGGTAGTGAGTTCCTGTCACAAGATAATATCAGATATTAGGTGACTACCTGTCAGGAAAACTGGAGGGGATGTTTGGAGAGGGTTTGTATACCTGAAGTGGTTCCCAAACCGGACAGAATGTCAAAATCACATGTAAAACAGTTTAAACGTAGGTTCCTGGTCCCCAGCTAAAACCCACTTAATCATAATTAAAACGAAATAAACAAATGTCCGGGGTGATTGCATAGATTCGAGAGCCACTAGACTGGATGATTCTTCAAGTTAACTAAGCCTTTAACACTCGTGCATCTGATTTGTAAAATGGGGCAGTTAAATAAGGGAGGGGACTAGAAGGACAGCGTCAGCAGATAAACAAGCCTGGCTGCTTTGCCAAAAGTCAGCTTTGCAGTCTTTCAGTGGATTGTGAATTAGAGAAACAATGGGTGGTCTGGTTTTTAAAAGCCCAAACACTGAAATCCGACATCTGATTTTCAAATTCTGGCTCTGCCACATGCTGGCATGTCACTCTGCACAAATTTTTAAGGCTTGATTATCTTCATCCATAAAATAGGGGTGATAATAATTCTCTCTTTATAGCTGTCTTCAGTGCTAAAGACAGAATGTACTGCAAAGCATCTGTACAGTGATGGCTACTGGAATATTAGGGAGAATACATAGAGAATTATGTGATGCCAGGTCATGGTACTGGGGCGCAGATTAAAAGACTAGAGGTGCACAGATGCTAACCTAGCAAGGCCCACTCGTGCTCCGCAGTGTGACGTGTGAAACGCGTGACAGAATGTGCCCGGGCTTCTTTAACTGAACAAACTTCAGTGCTGAGAGGCTTAATTTCTCACTAAAATTAATTCTAGCTATGCCTCATCAATTTCTATTTGCTGTATCCTTTTTGTTTTACAAGTAGTAAACATGGCTGAAATAACTGATTAACCAGGAAGCCTGAAAGAAGCAGAGAAAGGATAGAAAAACTAAAAATTCTGCAGTGAAATTCCACAGAAATTATGACTAGAACAAACTAACCACAATTTACCCTTCCACAACAAAGGTTACGGGTGGCAACTAATCTTCTTAATCTTTTTTCCATACATTTTGTTTCCCAATATAGGAAAAATAAGGAAAACATCTTTTTCATTTGTTTTTAACACGCAAACACATCAGGAAGTATTAGGACATTTATAAATAATGTATCCCATTATTGACTCTTTTCCTCTGAATATAACCAATGACAGATGTTATCAGTTACTTGTACACAAAGGCAGTCCACCCCCACTATACAGCTCATTAGCCCTGCTTTCTTTCTTCCCCCAGCTTGACTTAATACATTAATAAATTATTCAAGTACTTAATATGTGCCTGGCACTGTTCTAAGTATGCTAAATGCATTACCTTACAACTCTACAAGTTAGGTCACTTTTATCCCCATTTTATAAATTAAACTATTAAATCTTGGAGAGATTTAAGTAACTGGCCCAAGGTCACAGGGCTAGTAAGCAGCTGAGCCAGGGCTCAAACCCAGTCAAATCCAGACTGTGCTCTGAGGACATTCATTGTACTGCCTCCCTGCCTGCCTCCCGCCTACTTCACCTTAAATCCTTTCATAAACATCCCCTTCAACCTAATCCTGGCACAATCAGAGAGAGGACTCTTTGACCCCACCCTGCCACCCTTACTGGCCCTTG